TATATAATATTATTGATCAATTTTTTTGTTCCAAAATACAAATCTTGTTAGTTGCAACACATATTGTATTATGTTTTTTATACATGAATCAAAAATTTTGTCTAAAAAGTTTCTTAATTATCTAATATTGGATCATTTTATATAAAAAAAAGATAAAACTATCATAAAATAAAGTCTATAAGTAATGATCTATTAAATTTGATTTGTAATCTTAGAGTTGAATGGCTTTAAAATTAAAGTTTATTTATAAATTATACTTAATTGATGAATCCTTGAAATTTTTATTTTGTACAATAAAAATTTTTAAAAAAGACAACTCTTGGTTTTCTAATGCTAAAACAATGTTCAACTATAGAAAAAATAATATAATTTGGTGTAGATGTTGAAGCTACTCCAATCATCTTTGTATCTTCACATCTAACTTATCTTGCTACTCCTTGTGGTCATAAATTGAATTCATATATCACAAGTATTAATTTTAACATTTGTTCTTACATTTCTATCATTGCATTCTTTATTTCAACAAAATTTGCTATGATAATATAATAGAAAAAATAATATTTAATGTCACTCAAGACAAATAATAGATTTAACTTAAGAACAAAGAAAATTTTGAAAATAATATTAGCTTAAAAGTGGGTATTTCACAACTTCTAATATGTTTATATCTTATCAAAACAAAATATAATCTACTCTTAATCAAGAAAAGATAAATATTTAATGTTGTAAGTATAGTCTTATCAATCTCTCAAAGGCAAGAATTTAAAGAATATAAATTAACAAACAAAACGTTCTTCAAAGAAAGATGAAAAAAATGAAATAAGTATATATATATATATATATATATATATATATATTCAAGAAGCTACAATGACTATTGTCAAAGACTAAGAAATTAGAATTCTTAAAATTAAACTAAAAGCAAGAAAGAAATTCAAATGAATGAAGAAGGCCTCATTCTTGTATTTTTACATATTATTTGATTAAAAAATACATAGTAATGTTTTATTAAGCATATAACATGTGTCCAACTTATAAAATATGATCAATATATGCAACACATGTCTAACTTGTATCACAAGTGACCAACATATGCAACACATGGCTAACTTGTTGGCTAAGTTTTTAATCTTTCAATCACCTACAAATACACATAATTTGCTTTTATGAAGCTTTTGAAAAGTTTTGCTATAAGATATTATCAAATTTATCTACTTTTACTTACTTCTATTTATTCATATTATTTAGGTAATTATTAGAATATATATTTATGTTTATGATACATGGTACAAATATTAAAAATTTACTTTGTAAGTTTGACACATGTTAGATGATCCGTAGTATGCTGCCACATAATTTTTTAATTAAATAGTATATATAGAGGTAAAATTGAGATCTTTCTTATTCTTGTCAATGCTTTTTTATTTCCAATTTAGCTTCAAGAGTATCTCATCTTCTTGTCTTTGATAATAGTTATTTTAATTTTTTTTGAAATAGACATACTTTCTTATTTTCTTTTGTTATCTTTGAAACAAATTCTAATTTATTTCTTTTTTCTTTCTTGAAATCCTTATCTTTGATATGTAATAAAACAAAATACTATTTTTTCTTGAATATGTAGTATTTAAATTTTTAAAGAATATACACCATTGTTAATATTTTATTTTTCATATTTAATATAGTTTTTTAAAAAATAAATTAATAGCTTTGAGGTTTATATTATTTTGATATCATATACCTCTAAAAACATAAAATCAATTTATACTCCTAAAATAACATATATTTTGAAGATTTTTTTAATATTGAATGGTAATTGCAATCACTTTAATTGATCTAAAACTTAATTTCAGATATCAATTTTTGCAACCTTAAATTTTAATTTCTTTTACATCTTATGACTTAAAATTTGCTGAATAATCTCTTAAAATATAGATTTTATTTCACTATTTTATCATAGCTACTTACAAAAATAACAAAATTTATTATTGCTTTTGTAGTATGGTATAAGAATATAAATGTAGCTATTTATTAGATATCATCCTCTTGATTGTTGTCCCTTGTTCTTTTATATTATAACTTCATGCATGGTAATAGTTCCTTTGTCTATAGATGGCTTGTATTTTCCATCTTTTAATTGTGTAAGCTAAACTAATAGTTACTTATATTATAATTATATATTATAAAAAACTACACTTTTTTTTTTCTTTTTTTTAAAAAGAGATTAACTTATACTATGTAAAGGAATATTTTTATTGTAGCATAAACTAATTGAGACAAATTCTATTTGTTATAATTACATTTAGATATTTTTGTCATGCTTTTGAATACTACTTGTTAGATTTACCAAGTCATATGTTAAATTGAACTTTAGAAAAATTAATTAATTCTACCTATTTTTAAAAAACAAAAAGAAATAAATAAATTTATAGTTTAAATGAGTTAGTAGGTTGTTACTAAAGACTATAATGCATTTGTAAAATTCTTCTACTTTGTTGTTTGATATTTGTTAAATATATTAAATAACACAATATATACATGTTAGTTAGTTTTTTTTATATAATTAGAATTTTTTTAAAATATATTAATAAAAATTATAGTATTATCTATTAGATAATCGAATTTGTTATTAAATTTAAGTCATATCTATTATATAAAGTAAGACTTTAGTCCTAAAATTAAAAAATATTGTGGTATTTGAATAAAATCAAAGTAATTATGAATACTTAAAAAATTGTGAAAAAACTTAAAATGCCAAAAGAACCTAAGATTAGAGTATTGAAATATAACTATTGTCTAAAAAGAAAAACTAACAATCATAAAAAATGTTCACAATGTAAAAACAAAAAATTAATAAAAGACTTCAAATTATAGTTTGTCACAAATAAAATTGATTAAAAATAAAAAATTCCACAAAAAATGGATATATTTTAGATAATAAGATCATAATTAATGATAATTATTTTAAAATTTCACTAAAAAAGAAAAAATATTATATTTATTAACATAGATATTGTATAAATAAAATATACAATAAGAACTTGAATGGAGCAAAGAAGTAAAATTCAAAATAAAACATAATAATAATAATAATAACTAAAAAATACACTTATATTATAATAATTTTTATATTAATACAACAAAAGCCAAAAGAACATAGACTTATTGAAAAAATTAAATATAACACACATATTTTTATATTTTTAGTTAAAAATATAGATGCATAAATAATAGATTTTTATTATTTTTAGTTCTTTTTTAATATTAAAAAATCTTATAAATAAAAATATTAAAAAATTAGAGATTAATCTATTTAATTTAATCAACTCAACTTTACTTACTTAAATTAAGTTGAATATGATTATATTTAATTAAGTAAATATATTTGAAATCTATTAAATAATATAGTTATTTATAAAGATAAATATGAAAAAATATATTAAATAAACTTAAAATATATTCTAAATATAATATATTTACATTTATAATTTTAATTTTAATTAAAAAAATAGTAAATAAATATAAAATATTTAAATTATATATTAAATTATATATATCTTATTTATATTTATATATTTTTACTAATTTTGTATTAAAATTTTACATATTAATTTTTTAATTACATAACTTGTTTAAAAATTTTCATTGATATTATTTTAATATTTCATTAATAAATGCATGTGTGTATATTTATACATTATTGCTAATACCACCACAATTTTTGCTATTACCACCATAACTTGCTACCTTCTTGACATATTTCCAATATATTTTATTTTATTTTTTCAAATTGATAGGAGGTGAATTTGTTTTTCTAATAAAAAGAAACTTCAAAAAAATTCATTAGAATAAATTGTAATGGCTGTAGCAATAACTTTAGTAGCATGTAGTAGATGGCAAATTGTGGTGATAATATCAAAAACATTAGTAATGTGTGGTAGATGGCAAATTGAGGTGGCAGTAGCAATACCTTCGATATATATGACATTATTTCTTTGACTAAAGATTAATATATTTATAAAAAAATAATAAAATCCCATAAGAATTTAGTTTTAATTATTCTTTTTAATTACCATTTTGAAATACTTAAGATAAGTATTAATAATATTTGTATTTTAAACATATATTATCTGTAAAAAATCAACAAGTAAATATAATAAATTTTACTTGTTAAATCCTTTGATACAATCTAATGCATTTAAAAGAATATTATGTAATCACTAGTAATTTAACATCATAGTCCTGTATTGTGCTTGTCATGGTACTATTTACAGATATTTTAGCAAAACTGTCTCTGTTAATAAGCCCAGGATCGTTTAAGATGCTCATTAGATGTATTTAACTGACTTCACAACATTGCGCAGCAGGGAAAGAACGTAGTAGAATTTTGAACGTTGACTACTGTTCAGTTATTTCGTGGTTTTAATTCGCAGAGTCGAAATTATTAGCAATTTGTTGCCCTTCTTGGCAACTAGATACGCCACTGCCATCTTAATAATGACCTAGTTGTACACTTTCTCACAAATTAACTAATTAGCATCAGATTATTCAGTGTATACAATTCAACCCTCACCCTGTTTCTTATTTGCCGTGTACACGAAAACTAGTTACAGTATACAGCAGTTCATCTTAACAATGGTCTGAGTGTATCAGTTGATAACAATATTCATTAGTTGGGACTCTAAAAAAGTTAAGAACAGGTCAGGCGTTAGTGCATCAGATAACCAGGTTGACGGACAGCATAACCGTCATGATCTTGAGTAGATTCCTCACATCACCAGGAGCGAGCTGCAGTTCCGACCCACAAATCCAATAATAGATTCCGGATTGAACGCACTGTAATCCCAAATTCCGGTACCAATACTCATCAGAATGAGTCACGCAGCCATGTCCATTCAAAATGACTTGATCATTAGTACTATCGCCACGAAGAGCTCAAATGAATGTTTCCGTGATGGCATAACAGGGATCCCAGGAAGTAATGGATAGTATACAAAAGGGAGTTCACAAGTATAGCAAATCCAATTGGGGTATCTAAATGGGTGAGAAATTATGGTCTCGAAGCACATTTTCGAGGAGTGGACTGTGGATATGAAGATCTGGTCGACAAATTACGAATAGTTACACCGATTAGCACAATACACCTTCCTCGTGCAAGCGGACTTGCAGATAGAAAAACGGATTATAAAGGAACAAGCTTGATCGCATGAGATTGATGATTCTACTGCTACACTGAAAATACATCATTAGATCTATATCTGGGAGAGCACTTGGTCGAGCAACGCCACGGTCTCAGCGTATGCCTTGTCGGCCTTAGGGGGGCTCTTGATCCTCGCTGCGTAGTCCAACTGCGGAGAAAAGACGAAACATCGGTCAGCTCAAGGCCACATCCATAACCAGGGCTAAATCAAACCACCAAGATCAACATGTGAATGTCCATTGGTAACCACAGAGTTTGAGTTCTAGTGCAAATCACAGCGTGAAATCAGACACTGTAGTAGAAATGGAGAGGCTAGGACAGTACATTGTTCAGAGAGTCGAGAGCCTTGTCCTTGAGAGCCTTGAAAGCCTTCTTCTCTGCCTTAGGCTTCGACACTTCAATGGTGCTGAGATCATATCTCAGATAGGATGCAGAGGAGCGCAGTCCATTCTGGATATATGGCCATGCCTTCTTCTGGATCAAGGGCTTCACATCCTTAACAGCCTTAATAGCTTCCTTAATTCGGTCAGCAGCTTCTTGAGGAGTCTTGGGTTGCAAGTAAAACCTCTCCTTCAGTGGCAGATCAAGCTCACGGGCTTGGTCAGCACTTTCAGTTCCGGCTGCAAACAGCACAGCATAGCACAACCCCATACACGTTAACCCACATTGCAGCCCAGGAAATTCTAAACCCTCTGTATCAACAAAGCGAAGTAACACAAATTCGCCAGAATCAACCCCCATGGTTCACTCGAATTCCGGGATCACTTAATGCCAATCGACACGGGCATCGGAACCCAACTCAGATAGTTATCGTGTATGCGTTGCGATAAACCTCAGCAGTGCACCCCAGAATTCAACGCGAAGGGGCGGTGACTTACGCAGGCCACCGAAGGGAGGGGGAGGAGGAGCCAACTTGATATCCTCCAAGGCGCGGGCATTCCCGGCGAGGGCAGTGGCAGCCAATGACGCAGCGGCCAAGCTCAAGAACGCCCTCCTGTTCTGGGCCTCCTCGCTGTGGGCGCGCACCTGCACGGGTCCACACTTCACCACCACAGCGGCGCTGCTGCTGCTGCTGCTCACAACATTGCTTCCAACCAAGCTGCTCTCCAGCTTGAGTCCCTGGGAGAGACCTGCCATGCTTGCAGTGGCGTTCGCCATGGCCACACCCAAACCCACAATCGCAACTCGAAGCTTAGATCACCGCAACAGAGGAAACGTCGCAACGACTCCGCTGGGTAATCGGCGCGTGTGTATTAGAACAAGATCTTGGACGCGAGCGGGCAGCCCGTGACGGCCCGTGGGCTGGGACCTGGAAAGTTCCAGGGGGAAAGGGGGCTGCCCGGAACGGATAAGGTGTGGATGAGGGGATGAGATGGAGGGTGGGAGTTTGTCGGCATCCAGGGCGGGCAAGCAATCCTGGGTGAGGGGTCGATCCAGCCCATCCTGAGTTTCAATCCGCGATTGGTCCCCTGAGCCCCCTCCCCCCCTCGGTTAGTCCCAATTAGGGTCCCCATTTCCCTTAACCCCGCTTTGCAATAACGGCATTATGATGTTAACATATTATTTATTATTATTAGGATAATTTCAAATAGACCCAGGTTTTTACTAAATTTAACCACCGTTAAAAACCAACCACATTCATCAAGGGTAGGTTGATTTAGTAAAAACCTTGGTCTATTTATTATCATTCATATTTTTATTATATTATTTTTTACTATGCAATTGGAATATGGATTTTGTTTTGTGATAAGAGTGGAGTGATTGGTTTCAACATGCATGGATTGATTATGTTGCACACATGTTTATTAATATGAAGATGTGGGATCGATGTCATTGTTAGAGTGAAATTAAAACGTTTGTGAAAATATTGGATGGTAATGCATGGTAAAATTATTGAATTGAAAATATATGAAACATGCTATGTGTCTGAAGAAGAAAAAATAATAAAACCTAAAAAACTAAATTTGTAAACATGTAATATCCAGAAATAAACAAATTCTCTAATTTTGATCACTTTATTTACAATGATTCATTATTAGTGTTCTCTAAATTATCCATCTTTAGTTATGTATCACTCAAAATCTATACATTAAATCCTTATGATTTACTTGTGAAATGATGTTTAACAAGAAAAATTCATACACCAGATTTAATTTGATTTTTAATTTTATGCACCTCAAAACTCAGATATTTTTATTTTATTTTTATTTTTATTTTTGAAAAAATCCAATACAAAATATCCATATATTTATAAAAATAAAAAACAATTAAAAAACCCTTATTGACATTTTGGTTTAATTTATTTATTAAGAGTGTCTGACTTGGAAATATCAAAGCCGTGACATAATATCTTTGTTACCACCAAAACATCATTTCTGAATGTTAACTATAAAAATCGTTGAAACAATGTAATTGTTGGACAATCTCTTTCTCTAGTTCTTGGTCATTAGCAACAACAGATACAACTTCTGAATAATACATCAAAAAAGCATGCACTAAATACAGTTGCCAACATTGTTCTCTGGTCTTGATTGAGTATAATAAATTCAATAATTGATTAGGGGTGAGAAATTAATTTTTGATTTTATTTTGACTGTTTTTCTCTCTCTCGGTAATTATAAAAATAAAGAATAAAGTCTTTGTAAAAACTAAAAATTGATTCCATGTGACAAACATTGTTACTGCAATTGAAACATGTAACACTTGCAGGAGAGCTTCATCATATAATGTCAATGAAAAAATTTCTAGAAATTTTGAGAATATTTTTAAAATTCTAATTTAATCAATACATCATAAAAAATTCACCTAAAAATAATACTGTAAGGTTGCAAACATATAAAGAATAAATTTAAAAAGTTATTGTATACAAAGTTAGTCAATTTAAATATATATATATATATATATATATATATATATAAACTATATCTATTATACAAAATTATTGTTCAAAAAATTAGTTTAGGTTATACTAAGATTATTATTATTATTATTATTATTATTTATATAAATATTACAATAAAAACATACATAAGAACAACATTAATAATATTAAGTTGTTAGATGGGTCCTTAGATGGCTTTTTAGGTGATATGAAGGTAATTATTTATCATTTACATCAATTCTTTAAATTATTCAATATAATTAATAATTAAGAAATAATATTAAAATTTTAAATCGAAAAGAATTAATAACTTAAGGTTTCAAATTTAATGTATCGAATTTATATTTTTAAAGATATTTTTACTATAAAAATTATTTTTTAATAAAGTATTATTATATGTAAGTTATATTTAGAAAAAACTAAACTAAAAACTTTGGGGGTTTTATGTGAATATTTATACTTTATTATAATATTTATTTATTCAAATATTTTTTCTAATAAAATGAGGTTAAAAAAATGCATAGATTATTTTATATGATTAACACCTACCACATCAGTGATAATATTTTACACAGCTGTCATAACCCTCTGGAGGTGTAAAAAGAATTAATAAGAAATGAAAAAAAAAAATAATAATAATAAAAAAAATCCTTGTCTGCTTCATTTGAAATAATTCCGATTTTAAAGTTTGAGACATTTCATAATTTTACACACCTATTAATATTTGTAGAGATTATTCATTTCTTGAATTAAATTGGTTTCAAAAACCTTTCCAGCGATACTAATGTGTTTTATTTCTCTTCATAATGCACATAATCAGTATTGTTACCCTTACCTTTCTACGAATGCCAACAAACACTACACTCACCTCTCTTTGATCCACAAATCTAACATCCCATAAAAAGCTCAGACTTTCATCAACACCCACTCCCATCTTCAAAGGAACACTGTTGAGTTTTCCACACCTAAAACCAAAAACCTCTTCAACTCTTTCACCAAAAGTGCCACCGAGAAAGGATATGAAGTTGTGTCCGAATCATAGATTTCTGATCAGCAATGTCGCTGAATCTGATCAATCTGCACAAAGCCACAAAATGCACGAACACTGCAATCGTGCACATCAGTGAGATTAAGAGCCAGCTGGGTCTGCTTAGAAGTTATAAGACAATAAAGGCTTCAAGGTCAGCTACTCTTGCATGGACTTCACTACTGGTATTTCATCACAATACCGACACTTCCGTTGCTGTTTGACCCCAAAGGTTTGACAATTTGAAAACTGATACTTTTTACGCATGCAAGATATCGCATTGATAGCACGGACTTAAGACGAGGGTGATTTCATCACGCAGATAAAGTACTGTAGCAAGGTCTTTTGTAACGCTGATTTGGATCAGACGTTTATCGAATCTGAAGTTTGTCTATGAGTTTGACTTAGTTTTGGCTTGAATGAGGTCTAATTGACTTGATAATAATTTAATATGTATTGACATTAAATACTTTAGATTATTATGATTAGTATAAATTATGATAGTATGAGAAGTGCTTTTTAGGTAGTAGTACCATTCTTAAAATGGGTCCACAATAGCAAGAATTTCTTTGTTGTAGATCAAATAATTAATCTCTACTGTTAAGAATTTTTTTGAATGAAAAGCAATAAAATGGCACCTATCATCTACATCTATATGCAATAGAATTGCACCTAATGCAAAATTTGATACATTTGCTTCTATAAAAAAATGAATTTAAAAAAATATATGCAAAATAAAATAGAAGTTGATATAAAAACTATTTTTAAACCTTTAATTTTTTTTTTTCTTCTATATCTTTATTCTATTCTAATTTTTCTTTGGAAGTTAACTTGAAAAAAATTATTTAAAAATATCCAATAATATAAATTCTAAAAAATATTAAATATGGAAAATGGTTTTTGGAGTTTTTTAATATATAGTAGTTTGTAACTTCTTTAAATCCATTTGTAAACTTCTATTTGAAATAATAAATTCCAAAAATTCTACTTGAATTGTATGAAAGATATATTTCTCCATCTTGACATACAGTTCTATATCTTTAAGTTTTAGCAATACAAGGCAAAAATGTTATTCACATTCTTTTATATTTTTAGAATAGATATGAATGTTGTTCAAAAATTATACAATAAAAATAGCTAAAAAAATTTTAAATATATTATTCATCAAAATGTTAGAAAGTAGCTAAAATATTTAAAGTCCAAAAGGAATGACATTGTATTTAAAATAACCATACTTAGTCCAAAACACAATCTTTTATTCATCTTTTTTTTTGAATACTTACCAAATTATAGGCTCACTATTGATCTATTTTAGTATAAATCTTAGCTTTATTTAGTTGACCAAAAATACAAAATATCAAAGATAAAGAATAACCATTTTTTATGGTTATTTTATTTATTTAAATGTTGAATAAAATTCTTTGCAAGTTTTTTTATCAATGTATTTCTTTGAATATCAAGTTCATTCTACAACAAGTTGTAAATTACTCCAAATGGTAGTTGAGCTCTTTCTTAAAGATTAATTTTATAAATATATAGTTAATATTATGGAAATATATTAGTATTTTTTGTTTCAAATGCATCTTGATATTTTTTGTATTATTTTAAGATTCGTTGCAATCCTTATTTAAATAAAGATTTGGTTCTAAAAAAATAAAAAGTCAAATATTTCCATCTTTTGCAAATTGCATAAATACCTTTGCTCCTACAAATAAAGATCAAGATAGTTTTTTGTTATTAGAACTAGCTCTTAAAATGATCTTTTGTAATTTTCAATCAATATCAAGATTATGTAATATAAATCATAGAAGGTCACATACCACTAGATTTGAAGGACATTGAATGATGTTAAAAATAATATGGATATTTGAACTTTTAATATCACTTTCAATAGTTAGATTTCTTTCATGATATATCAAGGTTTAAGTGGTCATCCATCAATAATTTCTACTAGAGTTGATTGAATCTTCTTTAAAAGTATCAACTTTTGTTGTGATATGGATTATTTATTCATAAAATATGCTAAGGCTTTAGTGTCTAAAAATACTTAAGCTGAAAATTTATAATTTAAAGTTGTAATAACTATAAAAAGTTTAAAATAGGATGTAAGGTTTGGTGATAATATGAGACTTACATTTGATGGTCTAGAATTATGCAACTACAAGATCTCTATTACAACTCTATATATATATATATATATATATATATATATATTTAAAAAAAAATTATGATTAAAATTTATATTCTTTATTTAAAATCTTAATGGTTTGATGCAACAATCTTATACTTTATGGAATTTTTTTGCAATATAAATACAAGTCTTTATAATTTTTTTTTTTTT